ATAAATACACGCTTTTTTGTCCTTTTCCATTATTTTGTTTCTTATATTGAAGTGTTTTGCTATATATAATTGTGATCATGTATAACTGGGTATATACAGATTCAAACATGTTTTCTCTATCTTTACTTTTTCAGTAATTTAAAACAACAACAGTTTTTAATTCTCATAAATCTGCAGTCTGAGAACCCAGTGGAGCGCTAGGTTTGGGTGTTCTCTACACGGCATTAGTCGGGGTAGCCTACCTGAGGGCTGGAGGATCCATTCCCAATGTGCATACTCTGTCTGGCAAGCCAGTGTGAGTGGTCAGCTGGGGTGCAGAAAGGCCTGAGCGGTGGAGACTCCTCTTCATGTGGGTCTCTGTATGTGGCCCTGGCCTCCTCACAGCAGCGCAACTGGGTTCCCAGGGGGAGCATCACATGAGAGAAATGGTTAGACCAATTAGAAATGGAAGTCTGAGTAAGACTTCATGCTTTGAATTTGATTCTAATAGTAACATGGTAGCACCTGGTGTAATCATAAAGAACCCCAAATAATTAGATCCTCCGTTTCCATCCCTCTGGTGTGTTTTGGCACATACTGCTTGGGCTTTGAATGCTTTGATCACCTGTGGGAACAGCTGGGTACTTAGAGCACCAGGAACAGGCCTCTTGGCTCAGTGTTCTCTCTGGCCCTGAGTTCAGTCTCCAACTGCTGCATCTGACCTTGGCTTGGTTTCTTTGATTCTGTACTGATCACCTCAATACATTTTTCTCCCACCCATGTTTACCTTTTCTCAGATGTGGATCTATATTTTTTTTTACCCCACCCTGGCAAGTCACCACAAATATGGGCTAGTTCCTGTGATTTATGGCTACATGTTGGAACTATGAATGGTTATGAGTCACGAATGTTTATGACTCAGCACATCTGCTCTTGTCCAGGCTGCCATGTTACCTGTCCAGCCTTGATATCACATGTAATTAATTGCTCTTTACCCTCCTGCTCTAACCCTTACCCTCAATTTCTAGATAAAAGGTAGTACCACATATCACGGGCTCTCTGTGAAGTTTTCCAAGTCTAGTTTCAAACAGGCCATAGATCAGGTGAGTGTTTCTTTGGGTATCACAGGGAGTCACTTGAAAGGCATTCTGTAGAATTCTAGGTAAGTATGGTGGCTGTATTAGATTTGATACAGAACACCAAAAGGACCCCCCCCCCCCAAAAAAAAAAATCATGCTTGGGGGTAGTGTGCAGGCATCACATGTCCAAATGATACCATAATAAACCACTTCTAATAATCTGCTTATGTGCAGTAAGTCAGTTCTACTGACTGTGAACTTGCACATTCCTGGAGGAGAGGACAGGGTGCTATCAGGAAAATTAGCTCTCTTACCACTGTTAAGACTTGTCATGTCTAGTAGATAAACAAAGAAGCTAGAAGAGTCATGCTTAGCACAAAGGAAGCACACGAGGGTTGGCCTATTCCCCAAATCAGAGTCAAACATCATTCTCGATGGGGACAAGCTTTAGAGCCAACTGGGAAAAGGGTCACTCCTATGCACAAGGTAAGAAAAGCAGTGACCCTCAGCAGCTCTCTGTGGGCAGCTCAGCGTGAACAGAAAAGGTGCCCACCCACTCAAGTCTATGCTTACAATAGGGGCCGACTGAAGTTTGCATTGAGACATTTGTACCTGCAGTTCTGGGCAAGGTCCCTCAGGAGGAAGGGCCCACAGGAGGCATCATTTTTAAGAGTGAATAGCTCTAGGTAAGTATAACCACAGCTCAACACTTAACCCCTTTGTGCTGCTTTTTTGGCTTACTAAAGTCTATGCCACTCACCAGCTAGAAGAATTTGAACAAAAATAATCAATTTACCAAATGAAAATAGCCCAGGTACATTGTTTGTCTCGCTGGAAAGTAGCAAAACTCCACCTAGCCTCAGATGCCTAACCCAGTACTTTGTCCTCTTCTCCACAGGGGTTAATGAGGGTGATCACTGGAGGCAGTGTAAGAATCACAAGTCTCAGCTCAGCCACTGAGGCTAGTAGACCTCTGAGGACACGAACTAAGAAACGCAGGGGAAAGAGGAAGGACTCTTCTCACAGATGTGAGCTGATGGAAAGGCTGACCCAAGGATCTTGTGCTGGGATGTGGGAAAGCAGGGTGAAGAGGGAGTGTGGTCAGATGGGCATGACAGTTGAACTACCAGTCACCACAGTGACTTCCTGAGAACCAGAGTGACATCAGGGCATCGGGAAGACTGTCCTGCCTTCACATCTGGGTCAAGGTCAAAATCTTAAGCAGGCAGCTTGCTTAGAAATTCAGTTGTACAAAAGCAGGTGTCGTGACCAAGTCAGCAGCAGTGGACATGTGGACAGAGTGAATTCCTAGGACAGCAAGAACACCACAGGACTTAGCAGACCATCTAAGACAGCAAAGCTCCAAGCCGCTAAGTCTGGGGGCCCAGAAAAAGGAAGGTCTCTGAACCAATTACTACCTCTTTTAAAAGTCTTTTTTAATTGAAAATAGATTCTTTTCTCATATAATACATCCCAACCACAGTTTCCCCTCCCTCCACTCCTTCCAGTTACCCCGACACACACTTCCCCTCTCCCCAAGATCCACTGCCCCTCCATTTCCTCTTCAGAAAAGTGCAGGCCTCTAAGAGACAACAGTCAAACAGGACAGAACAAGACACAGTAAGACAAGGCAAAAGTCTTCATATCCAGGCTGGACATGAGTCAGAGATACACCCACTCCCACTGTCAGGAGTCCCACAAAAACAGCAAGCTAACAGCCACAACATGTATGCAGAGGGCCTGGTGCAGACCCAGGCAGGCCCTGTGCAGACCCAGGCAGGCCCTGTGCTTGCAGCTTCTGTCTCTGTGAGCCCGTATGAGCCCTGCTCAGTTAATTCAGTAGGCTAGACTACTCTTTATTTTGCAGCTGTTGTATTTACTGTGTATAAGGAACGGATATAGTTTGAAATTTTTAGCTAAATGGCTAGAAGCCAGTCTCCTATAGAAAATAAAATTTGAAGCACCCAGTTGAGAAATGAGTTGAGACATTTTTTATAGTCATAAAAACCAACATATCACTTTCTTTTATAATTTTATTACTTACAAAATAAAAACAAGTTAGGAAAAATATTTTCCTTTGCAAGATATAGAAACTACAATCTTTGGAAAATACATAGCCCCCCATAATTGTTACAATACATAACCTTGAATACCACTTGAACATTGTTTAAAAATCATACCCTGTAAAGGTTGGGATAAGAACAATGTCAGCCACATATTGTGACATTCAAGTACTTAAGATATAGCCGAAATAAAACATGTTTCCCAATGGTTTGATCTTCCACAGTACCAGAGACTCCTCTATTTTGTAAGTTAGTCGGTGGCTCCAGGAGTGTCTGACTTTCCATAGGTGGAACTGAGAAGAGGCTGCCACGGAAACCCAGCTACTGCGGGTCTCCATCCTGTCATCCCTGTTTATGGAGCTTGGCTCCCACAGGATGATCTCTAAGACAGCTCTGAGCTCGAAAAGGCTGTTGACTGTATTTTCTGAGATGCTGACAGAATGACACAGGTGCAAATCTAAGTTCCAAGAGTCTGAGTCAGGTCAAGTGTGATTTAGATGACTCAGCTAAACAAGTATCATCTAGGAGGTCAGATGGAAAGTACTTTAAAAAAAGGATTTAAAGTTCCTCTTTGGAACTACTGGAGGAGATCCTCTTAACAGAATCTAAGTCCCAGGAACCCAGTTCCTGCCTTTGGAAGAACTGTGGGGGAGACTGGGAAAGAACAGTCAGCTCCCCAACTCTGCAGCTTAAGATAACAATAGAGGCTGTCTGGCAGCCACTATGGCCTTTCCATAAAGGCATCCAAAGGGACAGACGCATGGCCATGTACTCCCAACCCTGACCAATCTCCCAAACGTTCCTCTTTCACAGGAGAGTAGGGGCCTGCTGATGCTCCACATTTAGAATCTACTGTCTGAGTTCACACTAGTATTGCGGTACAGCTTGTCAGTCAAAGACTAGCATTTATTTGTGATTTGTGTTATATATGCAAGAAACAGTGAAAGTCAATCTACTGTGGATTAATAGGTCTTTACGTTTTTCATATATCACAAGCATTATAATGTATTGTTCCAAAATGGAAGAAGACTGCAAGAGTAAGTTTAATAACAGACCTGAACTTTAAAGGGGCTACCTTCTAGAGCTATGGTTTTTGTCAATGAAAATGGTACAATCTGGGCAACTGGATATGGCCTAACCTAGAACAATCCTGAGGAAAGTGTATTTGGCATCATACTATGAATTCAAAGAGAATTTGTAGAAAATCATCACATCTCAAATGTAAACACCTCAGGATGGGAATGTACACACTAGTCACGCCAAGATGTCTCTCTCATGATTTTAAGATTGGAAATCTTAGAATGTGAAAAAAAAAATAGTGCAATCTCAATAAAACAGGAGACCATTAAAACTTCAAAATGATAGCCAGAGTTACTAGCAGACTGAGAGAGAGAACTGCTAACCATGTGTGGCGAGCTAAAGGCTCTGTTCATGAAGCACATATAAAAATTCCAGCATCAAAACAAAAAGGCACAAACAAGAGTTAAAAGTGTAATGATCATCTGGGAGATCCTTGAAAATAAGGCTGGTTCACTTATATTCCTATCAGTAAATAGGCACCTGTACCAAGTTTCAGCTTTGGCATCCTAAATGGAATCACACTGCAAACGAAGGATTAACACAGTACTAATTATAGCAGCATTGTCAACATTAAGCTTCTTATCTATACCGCTAAAATAGAGGATTTCCCATCCATATCCTGTGTCAAAAATAAAGTTTTAAAAATTGTACTCATAAAAATTTCTGAAATTCCTCAAATGAGCTATCTTCTCAAATGACACCCCGACCCCAACAAGCCAAAGCAAAAATAAAAGCTATCCAAAAATTGCTAGGCTAGACTAGCTACTCTTAATTAAAAAGATACCATATTCAAAAATGGTACTTTATTTATGAAATTTATTAAATATAACCAATGAATAATGCAGATTTTCCAGGTATGTGTGTAGGTGTGTAAGATGTCTGAGCTGGGTGATGGCATACTTGAAAAAAATATCGATTTCTTTGACAGTGACATCTCATTTGGAACTCTGGACCCATCTACGAATGGTTGCTCCAGTAGTACTGGCTACTACACAGAGAGCCCCACCCACCGTCCACCAGGTCGGCATATTATCAAAGAAAGCGATCTGAAAGATAAAAGCAAAGACTATATCCATTGTCTTCATTATTGCTACGAGGCCCGCTTTTTCTATTTGAACTGCTTTAGTGATAAATATCTGACCCCCTAAACCCAAGAGTCCAATGAGTATGAGAAACAGCCTATCCAGCCCACAATACGGGAGACTCCATTCTCCTATGACAAAGAGGATGATGATGCACTCAGGAAGGCCAAGTATGACATAATACCAAATGCTCAGAAAGTAGTCCACAGATTTTCCCATTTTTCTTAGGATAACCAGAGTCATTGCAGCTAGCACAGCATGTCCAATTGCAGCAAACGTCCCCTTAATGTGCTCTGAATAGCTTTCTCTCATCCCAGTGTCGGAGCCAAATAAAAATGGCGGTCTCACGATAAGGATCACTCCAACGAACGCGAACAATGTGAAGAAAGCATCCCAAAGGCTATACTTTTCCTTGAGAAATATCCAAGCAAATATTGATGTAAACACTGGACAGCTAAATGCAATAACTGTGGCATCTGCGAGGGACGTCGTCTGGAAAGCATAGTACATAAGGATCATGGCACTGGAACCAAAGACCCCTCTGAGAAGAAGGAAAAGTCGTTGACCTTTGGGACCTATGAACCCAGTTCTGCAAATTTAAATGAAAAAAGAATGCATTTTAAATGAACTTGGCATTGCTTTCAAATCAAAATGTTTAATCAGACATTATTCTAAAAGTACATTATATTAAAAATAAGGGAGTAATAGTAAATGCTACCTAGTGTTGAATAATATGAATCCTTTAAAAATATTTTTCTAGGTATAGGTAATGATGGTTCAAAATGTTCATAGCAGGAGCAAAAAGAGAACACAGAACCTCATAAACAGCATGATAAAAAGTCAGTAAATATAGATAATTGTTTTTCCCCTGTATATTCTCGCAAAACATAACGACAAAAAAGGACTAGATGTGAAGAGATGTTATATATCCTAGCTGTAGAATTATGTAATTTCCCCCAAACTTTCTATGATGAAAATACATCATTTTATAATAAACATAATTTCAAGATTTTGTGACACTACATGAGGCAGCTTAATCCTGGCTAATGTACACTCAATCACATCAACTCTTCTGTCAAAGTTGAACAAATTTAGTCACTGAATATAAGGTAACTTTTCATTGTTCTTAGGAGTTAAAATACAGTGAGAAAAACAAAAGCAGTGGTTTGATACATAAAACTAGTGCTACTTTTTTTTTTTCAATTAAACACTCAGAACCTACTCTGGTAGGTTCAACTCACTGACTCAGGCTACAGCAGGCTTCATCCAGGTAAACACGAACATCTTTGTGTATCTAGAGTCAGAACAAAGCTGTGGCCCATATGTATGTGGAAAAGCTATGAATGTTCCATGATAGTGAACACAACATCAAAACAGATTAGAGCCAACGATTTTCAAAATACTTTCTAGCTTTGGATATTTTTATTGAAGCAAGGAGAATATGGTTGCTAACCCCAGTGTTGTTACCTCCTTTAGAAAGTGGTGCTAGCTCACCATTATTTCTGGAAGCACTCTGGCTTATACATTTACATGGGAATTGCTGGCAATATGAATCTTTGCAGATTGTCACTTTCTAACCAATTTCTCAGGATACAGAATGGCACTATTCTAAATGAATCTGCATCATGGCATGGAGACAAGGAGGCTCTGGAGGCAGGCAATGGAAACTTGATTTGAGGTTTAAGCATCTTCAGCTTCCAAACAGAAAGAGCCAGGTGGCCAGTCAGGGCCCAGTTAGTCTCCTCCCAGGGTTCAAAGAACACGAAGGTATGTGTAAGTTACAAGCGGAGGTGTGGGGTTGTATTCATAATTCCAGCCCTACTGGGAATGACAGATTCTACACAGAAGAAAAGGGATCAAGAATGGAAGGAGAGTAGGGAGGGGACAATAAAATAGCACCTATATGGTGAAGTCTCCAGAAAGCACCTAACCTAACTCTTATCTAACCTCTGCAACGTGCTCTGGGGCACAGCCCTGAAAGCGCCACTCCCTCCCATTTACAGAGTAGGAAACTGAATACCAAAGTAGTCAAAGACCTTGCTCAAGGTCCTACCTGCCGTCCTCTGTAAGACCGCCATCTTACTGGCATGATCTGGCAGGGCAGTCTGTCCCATTGAAAGAAACCTGATACCATATAACTCCTATCATTTACTTTTTAATCTTCAAAATGCCAGTTATGCCAAAGTAAAGGAAGGAGGGTGGTACACCCAGAATTTTGTTTTCAAATAGAGAGGCTGAACAACCACATGCCATCGTTCTCCTTTGATGGGCATGTGGTATGTACTTATGGTGGAATCTTCTGTGAGTAGATCCTGAGAACATGTCATTAATCAGGGTGAAGGGTTTATCTACGATAAACCAGTTACTATAGAGAAAATGTCAAGGCAGTTCAAAAGATTTACACACACTTATTAATCTCCTCTACTTCACTCTAAAACATACTTACTTTCTGTATATTAAGCAAGGAATAATAACTAGCATTTGGAACACACATCGAAATGCACTGATCTCTACAGCATGGACGTCTTGCACTTTTTTAACAAATAAAGAGGCCACTGAGAAAAGGAAGGCAGACAACACTGTGTAAAACAAGCCAAGTCCAGGACAGGGTGCTTTCTTCTTGGCTTCTGAAAAAGATTAAATTCTGGTTAGTCCTTGCTTCCAAGCATACGTTTCATCACTTTCACTTAGAAATAAATTGAGGAAGATGCACTGTAGTACCCAACAGCTAGATGTTAAGGTAAGACCTTCACATCTCTGGTCTTGTACCACTTTCCCTATCCATTATGAAGAGTCCATAGGCGTGGTTAACAATTTAAAACTACATTTTTTTTTAAAAAAAAAATGACCTTTCTTCCAATAAAAGATGGATTCCTTCTGGCTCACTAAGAATCATCCCTCACTTTACAAGTCAAGAAAGTCTTGCTAAGACGGTGAGAGGATCTTTAAGAAACACTTGTCAAATGCAAGTGAAAAGCACTTCTCAGTGACAGAGCCTTCCGTTCTCTCACCGGGGAGCTTCAGGAAGGACGCTTACAACTGTTTCATCTGGTCACTTGTTGATAATCTGACTTCTCCTACAGGCCTATGAGCTTTTCTGGGGCTGGGACCTCAGCTATCTTGTTCATGCCTGGAACACACGCAACCTGAATAAGTATCTAGTGAAGGAAAGAAGAGGAGAACTCCAGAGAAAGACACAAGGGTCTAACATTACTGGCAAGAAGATTAAACTGGAAAGGCTCTCTCCTGCTGCGTAAATGTGAGCTGCGAACTTTTTAACTCCTTCCTGCCTTAATCTAAATCAGGACACTTGTGCTTTCTGAAGGTCTTCAAATATGTAACTTATTACTGACATCGTGTGTAGCATTAACGACAAGTCACACACTCAGCGTATGGACACACCCCACTCTCTCCTCATGAACACCAAAAAGAGACAGTAATAAGGAAAACAAGTGATTCTCGTCAATTAAGAGTCTACTGGAGCCAGGCGGTGGTGGCGCACGCCTTTAATCCCAGCACTCGGGAGGCAGAGCCAGGCGGATCTCTGTGAGTTCGAGGCCAGCCTGGACTACCAAGTGAGTTCCAGGAAAGGCGCAAAGCTACACAGAGAAACCCTGTCTCGAAAAACCAAAAAAAAAAAAAAAAAAAAAAAAAAAAAAAAAAAAAAAAAAGAGTCTACTGGAGACACGAAACCTGCGAACACTGCAATTTACTTTGAACTTGGTCAGCCACTCCACTCTTAGAATGTTCAAAGTGTTACTCAGCTACGGAACTCTATTGCATAATTACGTTCTCTTTTTTTAAATGCCCTTCTCTGATAAATGATACACCGGGTAATGTATTTCAACATCCTCGAAGCAGATACCTTTGTCCACAGGTGCCTGCAAATCATGATCAAGGTAGGAAGACAGCTAGCTTCTCTAGCGACACCATACAGCCTGGCCTTTAGATACCCTTTACAGAAACCTCCCTGTTCTAGGCACACAGCTGGAGAGACTGCTTTGAAACTGTCCCTCTGTTACAGATGCTGGAAGCTCTCCCCCATGCTACCTTTCCCCCTGTGCTCCAACGCTGTGGGAATGAACTACAAAACAGCCACTCAGGCCCCGAGGAGGAAACTTCAGGAGACTTCCAGGCAAAAGCACCACAAAATACATGCCTTGGCTGTGGTCAGCCTAAGAGTTGGGCTTCTGAAATTACAAAATTTAGATCCAAATAAAACAAGTTTTCTCAAATGAAACCTCCACCCTCAGAACAGAATGAAAAGTCCTAGGACAGAAAACACCCTCCTGGTTTATAATCCAAGGATCTTCTCCAACTTAAATTCAATGGCTTTTTCTTTAAGAAGTGTAACAGTATATATAATTTAGCTTTCAACTTTAAAACACTTTTAAGAAAAAACACACTTCTTTTGAGGCAGGGTCTCTCTATGTAGCCCTGGCTATCCTGGACCTCACTATGTAAACAGACTGGCCACCAACTCAAGAGATTTGCCCACCTCTGCTTCCAAAGGTGTGTGCCACCCTGCCCAGCTTAAAAACCAGCAAATATTTAAGACTCTGTGTTTTCTGATTAGGGACAGGCAAGTCACAGAAAAGTTGAACTGAACTTGACTGTTACTGAAGGCAAGGATGCTCTGACCTCAGTTTCTTACTAAATGATCATTCCAGTTCCCTCTGACAATGGCGATGAGCAGTCTAAAGAGGGATTTGCTCACAAGATACACTTCCACACTCACACCCACAGAAAGTGTGTCTCATCACTCCAAACAAGTTAAGATCACTATTCAGATTAAGTGGTCACCATACAACATATACCAGAAGAAAGTAAAAACCCATTTGCCTGGCTTCTCCACACTTGGCTTCAAGCCAGTGATTTGGACCTGGCTGGGAACCACGGGAGTAACTTAAAAATTCCATTTCCAGGCCCCACTCCAGAACTTCTGGAACTTTGTAAAAGCTGGTTGGAGGTCTGGTGAAGCACTAATGTTCACTCCAGCAGGAGAGTGTGAGGCACAAGGCTAAGCTAACATCTCTCCCTTTAGTACAAGATCCACACTGCTCCAAAAACAGCAAACAGGTAGCCGGACAGCTGTAAACTGTCCGGTAAGGTTCTCCAGTTCCAACCTAAACTTGAAGATGAGTTTGGTTAAGAAACCACTTAGATCAAGAATCTCAAAGCCAGGCATGGTGTTGAATGCCCTTAATCCCAGCACTCAAGGAGGCTTAGGGAAGACTGAGTGTGAGCCAACCTGAACTGGAGACCCTGTCTCAAAAAAAAAAAAAAAGAGTCTAAAATAAGCCAGTCAAAAAGTTCTTGAGCCTCTGTGAGTTCGAGGCCAGCCTGGGCTACCAAGTGAGTTCCAGGAAAGGAGCAAAGCTACACAGAGAAACCCTGTCTCGAAAAACCAAAAAAAAAAAAAAAAAAGTTCTTGAGCATTCACACAGGTTTGACATTTTGCCATGTGCTCCCTGAGTATACAGACCCTCCTCATTAATGCATAAATGGGAAACTAAAGAGTTTGCAAGGACCAGTTCCACACTAAGCCAAAATGACATTCAGCCTTAAGGGTGATTAGGTGAGAAGCTGACCTCTTCATGAGCTGCCCATCTGGTCAGCCCAGTACGGAGTGACCCTGTCCTGGAGTCAAAGCCCATGCAAACATAATCAGAAACCCTTTGCTTTAAGGACAGAAATGTAGCAAAAATCATCTCCCTAGGACTTTTCTCTCTAAACTCAGAAAAGCCACTGAAAAGAAAGGAAAACTGGTGGGACAGGAGGCACAGAAGCCCCAGGGCATATTCCAGGAGTTGAGATAGTGAAAGGTGTTAACTTGGGTCTAAAAGATCTTCTTGAGTTTCTTCCGGAAAGCTAAGGAATGGAAAGGGCCCTAGGCGGAGTCTCTGGCAAAGGCAGAGCTCTACCTAGTACTGCCTGGACCTGCCCTACCCAGACCTTGGCAGATGGAAGTAGGGGTGAGACCCAACCGCGAAGCCCTCATCTTCCACGACCTCACTTTACCCCTGTGTAAGAGGAGTCTGAACAAAAGGCAGGGGCTCTTCACTCGGGCTTCTAACAAGGCGTACCTTGTTTTAAGCCAGTAGCTAAAAAGTCCTCCTATCCCAAAAAAGCTTGAGGACCAGTGTGGTCCACTCCACGCTCCTCTCTGGGATGCTTAAGATTCCGGGACAAACACTTTCTGAATCCGAGTCTTTCCAACTTGGTTCTGGAGGATCAGTTTCCCCTCGTGGTGAGGGTTCCTCCTGGTCGGCTTCCCCGGCCGCTGCCGGCCCCTTTCGGTGACCTTTCACCTCTGACTGCCACTGGACCGCGAGGGCCTGCCCTCGCCACCAATTTGGGGTTGCGACACTCGGAAACTTTCTGGGTCCGGGATCCCACGGGTGCGCAGAGAAACCGCCCCGCCCGGCCCGCCAGCCCCGCACTCACCCGGCTCCCCACGCGAGCAGCACGCCCAGGCTCCACACGGCCAGCACCTGCCGCGGCCGGGGGCGTCCTCCGTGTGCTCGTCGTCGGGGGACGCGGCCTCCGGCTCGCACAGCTCCGGCTCGCGCAGCTCCACCGCGTCGGCTCCGAGTTCCGCCGCGCTCTCCGGGGGCCCCATCCCGCAGCCCGCGCTCGCCCCGCAGCCCGCGCTCGCCCCGCAGCCGCGCGCCGTCTGGCGCCCGCAGCCGCCGCCGGGCCGCTCAGCTCTTCCGGCCCCCCGCGCGCCGGTGCGTGTGCGCGTGCGCCCGCTCCCGGCTCCGCGCGCCTGTCCTCCGCTGCCCTCCCGCCCCCGGGGAGCCTGCAGCCAGCGCTCGTGCACTCGGGCTGCGGTGGCCACAGCTGGCCCGGCGGCGGCGGCGGCGGCGGCGGCGGTCCCTCCGGTGCAGTCCGGCTAGACTGCACACTGGTCCTCCTCTTGTCTCTGAGCTTCTCAGCTCCGGCGCCTCGGGTCTTCTTTGGGGCCTTCTGCTGCTTTAGAAAGACTAGTGTGTGTGTGTGTGTGATCTGGGCGTGGTGTGGCACACGCCTTTAATCCCAGGGTTTGAGGACAGAGGTTTGTGGATGTCTGTGAGTTCAAGGCCAGCCAAGGCTACATAGGGAGACGCTGTTTCTAAATAAATGGATTAAATGAAATTTAAAAAGACTGGGTGTCTGTTTATTGGTGTGGGGTCCGGGGACGTGGAAGTATTATGTCAGTTTTTTAAACACACTGCTAACTGACCAAGGGAAATAGAATTTAAGTGTAATCATGGGGAAGCATAGATTGAAAAGGGTGGGCTTTTAAAAATTTCAGGGCATCCGGGCGTGGTGGCACATGCCTTTAATTCCAGCACTGGGAGGTAGAGGCAGGAGGATCTCTCTGAGTTCGAGGCCAGCCTGGTCTATATTGTGAGTTCCAGGAAAGCCAGGGCAACACGCAGAAACCCTGTCTCCAAAAAACCAAACAAACAAAAATTGCAGGGCAGAGGAGGTTGTTGGAACAAACTGAGACAAGTAGATGCCTCGGTTCTGTTAGAAGTTAAGTTCTGGATGGCAAAGGAAGAGACTACCACTCCAGCTGAAGGGTCTGAGCAAGGTAAAGTTTACTTTTGATTAAGAGGGTGCACTTGGAAGATAGAGCACATAGAGACAGGAAGCAGATGTGTTTTTTATTCCCTCTCAGATGGGACTGTGTCTTTTCCCCCATTCGCTGGGTTCAGACCTCACAGTCTTTGGTTTGTTTTTTTTTTTGTTTTTTATTTTTCAAGACAGGGTTTCTCCGTGTAGTTTTGGTACCTGTCCTGGATCTCCAGACCTCACAGTCTTATTCAACAGCTGGTCTTTAAAAAATAGGGCTCATCCCATTCCCTTATGTTCTCATCCTCCAGGGATGGAGTGGAAACACAGTGAAATAGATACCATGATAGAGGGAGACATCATGAGGATAGAGAGAAACTGGATGCTAGCAAAGATCCCAGGAGTCCCCAGGGATGACCCCAACTTGGACTACTAGAAATAATGGAGAGGGTATCTGAACTGACCTGGCTAGCCCCAGAGATCAGATCGGTGGATACCCTAACTGTCATCACAGAGCCTTTCTCCAGCGACAAATGGAAGCAGATGCAGAGATCCACAGCCAGGCACCAGGCAGAGCTCCAGGAGTCCAGTCGGGGAGAGAGAAGAGGGATTCTATGAGCAAGTGCATCAGGATCATGATGGGGAAACCTGCAGAGACGACCAAACCAAATTAGTGGGAACTCATGAAAGTTGGATCAATAGCTGTGGAGCCTGCATGGGACTGGGCTAGGCCCTCTGCATGGCCAGACAGTTGTGTAGCTTGGTCTGCTTGGAGGCTCCCCTGGCAGTAGGATCAGAATCCATCTCTGGCGCATGAGGTGGCTTTTTGGAGCCCACTACCTATGATGGAACACCTCCTGCAGCCTTGAGGCAGAGGGAGGGGCTTGGACTTGCCTCTCCTGCATGTGACGCCTCATGGGAGGCCTTGCCTTCTTATTGGGGGGAGTAGGGGGTGGGTTGGGAGGGGGAGGCTGGGGAGGGCAGGAGGAGGGAAGAGGGGGATCTTTGGTGTGTAAAATGAATGGAAAAATTTTCTTAATAAAAAAAAAAGGGGGGAGGTTGGGGATTTAGCTCAGTGGTAGAGCGCTTGCCTAACAAGCTCAAGGCCCTGGGTTCAGTCCTCAGCTCTGGAAGAAGAAGAAGAAGAAGAAGAAGAAGAAGAAGAAGAAGAAGAAGAAGAAGAAGAAGAAGAAGAAGAAGAAGAAAAATAAAATAAAAAATCAGGGCTCAGGAAATAAAGGAGGAAGGCTAACCAGAAGGCTGATCCTTGGTCATCTGATTCCTGGGATACAGCAATGGGCCTTTGTGTAAACAAAGGTTTTACTGAGTGATGGAAGGGATTAAAACATTTGCATAAAAGTCTTACAAGGGGGGGGGGAGATAAAGACTTTAATCCTTTCTCCTAAACACATTTAATATTTTAAACTTTTTTAAAAACAAAAACACTTCTTCAAATTAATTATGATATTGGCCCTTTTACTATATTATGTTGGTGTAGGAAATTGCAATAGGTAGATCATACTGTTTAACTGGTGGTCAACTCAATGAGCCTGAGTTAGGCCCCTAGCATAAAACAATAATTATTGCATCTAGTTCATCAGCATGGTTTAAGGTGAGCCTGCTTGCTAGAGGTGGTTCCTTGGTCAGGGGATTGTCATGACCCTATTGGAATGTTAGGTCTGCAGCCAGGCCAGAGGTTCTATTCTCTTGACCAGGAGATTTCCCTCAACAGACTTTCATTGCTACTTTAAACATTCCACCTCCCTAAATAGATAACCCTAGAATCATCTACAAACTAGATCAAAGAGCAGAGCTCCCCAAACACTTGGCTGGCACCTTTGGTTTCTGACAAGGATGAAACTGCCAAGAGTCCCAGGACATTTCCAAGGCACGCCTTTAATCTCAGCACTGGGGAGGCAGAGCCAGGCGGATCTCTGTGAGTTCAAGGCCAACCTGGTCTACAGAGTGAGAGATCCAGGAGAGGCACCAAAACTACACAGAGAAACCCTGTCTCCAAAACCAAAAAAACAAAAGCCTCTTAGATAAGAAAAAGACTCGTACCCAGTGTGGTAAACACTGGCCTTTAATCCCAGCACTTGGGAGGCAGAGGCAGGCGGGTCCTCTGCCAGCCTAGTCTAGATAATGAGTTTCAGTACAGCCAGGGCTATGTAGAAAGACCCTGTCTTTAAAAAGAAAGAAGAAAAAAAGAAGAGAGAGTATAGCTAGAGTTTTTCTGGTCCTGCCTGGCCCACAGTCAGGACAAATCTCTCTAACCCGCCAGTCCCACAGCCACTCAGACCCAACCAAGTAAACACAGAGACTAATATTGCTTAAACTGTTTGGCCTAATGGCTCAGGCTTCTAGCTATCTAGTTCTTACATCTTAAATTAATCCATTTCTATAAATCTATACTTTGCGATGTGGCTCATGGCTTACCGGCATCTTCACATGGTGCTTGTCATGGCAGCAGCTGGCAGTGTCTCTCCCACTCAGCCTTCCACTTTCCAGAATTCTCCTTTCTCCTTGTCCTGCCTATACTTCCTGCCTGGCCACTGGCCAATCACTGTGTTATTTATACAGAATGATATCCACAGCAAGAGAGAGACAGAGACAGAGAGAGAAAGGGGTTACTTTTCTTTTCTTTGGAGTCTTTTTGCATTAAATGGCCTAGCCAATTTTTATCTCATGTTTTTATCCTCCCTCCTCTCCCTGAAGAGGTAATGTAACCCTGACTGCCATTATGGGATTGAGGCAATAACCAAACTGGCTTCTCTCCAATGAATTTGGGGTGTTGAGTTGGCAGCGTGGGGGTTCCTCTCCAGAGGACCCACCTCTCAGATGTTGGAAGGAAAGGAAGTTCTTGACTGGTGTCTAGAAAGGATTTTAAAATGTTCAATCAGAGTTTATTAGAATCTCTTGATGAGTAATAGGTTTGCTGTCCCCACCCCTGTAATGACACGGTGGCACAAGGGAGGCCCTTGGTGGGTTTGGACCAAGGTGCCACATGGTGGGTGAGACAGGCCATGTAGTCACGGCAGATGGTGGAAAGTTACTCACACGGTGGATGCCATGTCCACGTGGCAAGTTTATTTTGGGGTTTGGGAGGAGGAGAGTGGGAATGGAGGTAAGGAGAAAAGAGAGAGAGAGAGAGAGAGAGAGAGAGAGAGAGAGAGAGAGAGAGAGAAGAGGGGAGAGAGAAAGAGAGAGGTGTATGCTATCTCTGTGGGGGGGAGTGAAGGGGAAGGAGTTTTTCCTAAAGCAAACGTAGGATGGCATTAGGAGGACGCTGGGTGGGTCCCCAAGGGATAGGTCAGAATACTAACATTCCTCTGTTTTGATTATTATAAAAAGGTGAATTATGGATAGCAAGTTGGTTGGGAGGATGAGGGTGCTGAATTCTCAAGACTGCTTCCTGCTGACTTTGGGACGAAGTGGGGAGGGGGAAGTTGGGAGTCACTTATGGCGGGGAGGTGTGAGTGAAGTTAGCTGTCATTGTGGAGATCTCTCAGGCCTCTGTTCCTTGATGGGGCTGAGAAGGCAGGTTGCAGCAGTGGTGTTCCAGGAGCTTGGGGAACGGCACACCAAATCAGGGGTACAGGAGCCATCACATCTGCTGTTTCTCTGGAGGAGGAAATGCCTCCATTCATCCTGTAAAATGTGTCAACAAATTAGGAGATAACAGAGTTTTCATGAGTGGGCATGTGGGTGAAGTTAACCTGTCAGTATTCTCCTGGTTGGCATCCTCAGTTGGTGGTTGGCATCCTCAGAGCTGGTGCAGGGGCTGGCATATCTGGAGGACCCCCTGTGGATTGGCCTTGGCATGAGTCTGGCAGGAGGAGTGAGACTGCAAAATAGGCTCGAAAATGGGTGGGGTCAAAAATGGGCTCTGGAGACTAAGTTTTCATCAGACCAGATGTCTTGATACAGTAGCAGAACTTTCCCCAGGAACCTGCAGGTATCTGTCAGACAGCTGGAACGGATTTACATCCTGGTGTCAGAGCAAAAGGCTATAGCTTTGGGTTAAAAGGTATGAACACTTCCTGGCTTCAGCCCAATGAAACATATCTTTAAATCTATAACCAGAGGAAATTTACTGAATGGAAGTGGTT